GGGGCCCGGCGGTGGACCTGCAAGGCCGGCGGGAGTGCAAGGAAGCCCCGCGAAAGCCCCCCTGCCCCCAACGGTCTTGGCCACCGGCGCCGCCAGCCTTGCGGCTCCACTGCCAAGCCCCATCAGGGGCCCGGCGGTGGACCTGCAAGGCCGGCAGGAGTGCGAGGAAACCCCATGAAGCCCCCCTGCCCCCAACGCTCCCGGCCGCCGCCACCACCGCCGCCGGCCTTGCGGCTCCACTGCCGAGCCCCATCAGGGGCCCGGTGGTGGAACTGCAAAGCCGGCGGGAATGCGAGGAAGCCCCACGAAGGCCCTCCCTGGCCCCAGGCAGGCAGGGGTGGGGAGAGGCGGGGAGGAAGCAAGTTATCCTCCCTCTTCTGCCTCCTCCTGGCTGAATGAGGGCCGGAAGCGGGGCAGCCGGAAGCAGGGGGCGGGGCTTCGTCGTGTGCCCCGCCCCCCGCACCTCACCCGGGGGAACGACGATCCCCCGCGATCCCCCGAATCTACCTCTGCATAAGAGTATGGGAAAGACGCTGTGATTCAAAGAACTGAACCTGGGTCATATAGGCAAAGCTATTTTTAAAAAACATTGCAGTGCAATTACGCTCCATCCCTTGCTGCTGCAGCAGCTATATTAAAACACAAGGCCTTTTCTAAATCTGCAATAAACTGGCAACCATACTTGATGGACCACTGTTCATGGCTGCTGGACTGCATGCCAATGGATGGGCCTCGGACAAGTTAAGTCTGAAACGAAAAACAAACTCACGCATTTTCAAGTGTGTCACACTACTGAGAAACAGCTTGCATTGAGCAAACACCTTGGCCGGTATTTTGCTAGTTAGTTATGTAATTGCTTTGAAAGGCGATTGGATTTTGGTTGAAACCGCAAGAGGGTGTGCCCTTGACGCCAATGAAAATTTACCTGTAGCAATTTAAATTAGCCGCCGCCGCCACCCATAAATCAAGGAAAGCTTTATTTAATGCAACAATTAAAGCCTCTGCAGCCCTGCATTCTACTTTAATTGTAGATTTTCTCAACTTCAGATTGTAAATTCCTTGGGGCAGGAAATTATCTTGTTCGTTAGCATCACTGATGCATAGTGCTTTACAGACAAAAAATTAGAACTTGTGTCTGTCTGCACAGTGTATTGGATGTGTGTTTTGCTCCTTCAGCAATGTGTGTAGTTTTTCTTGGATCTTATATGAGACATCTTTTAAGAGGCACAATGTACAGCGGTTAAAACATTTGGCTAGTATCTATGAGACCCAGGGTCAGATCTAGGGTTGCCAGGTCCCCCCGGGGGGCGGGGAAACCCCTGCTCAATAGGCCCGTTCCCCGCCCCCAAAGTGTGAGGCGTGCCCTCCATGAAGACGCCACCCGGAGGTGACTTCATCGTGTCGGGCACATTGAGGGGGACGCTCTATCATTCGAGGGAAAACTATGGCTTTCCCTCGAATAATTGTGACCCCGCCCCTAACGTGCCGGACGCGATGACATCACTTCCAGGTGGCATCATCGCAGCGCACAAGCTTCACGGACATGCAAGAAGACTCCTGCGGAGGTGCAGGACTTCCCCAGCTAAAAGGTAATTCTGACTTGGCAACCCTAGTCAGATCCCAACTCTGTCATGGAAGCCTGTTGGGTGATGTTGGACAGGTGACTCTTTCACCCTAACCTACTTTACAGGTTGGCGGCTGGAGAAAATGGAGGCCAGGAGGGCAATGACATAAGCTGCTTCAGGTCTCCACTGCAGAGAAAAATAGTGTATAACAATCTAAATACATAAATGTGTTTCTGAGCATGGTTGCCCTCTAGTGGTACATTTTAGAACTGCAGTTTATGGGGAGCATGTATTCCACAAAGATAGTTTGGGGAGGGTAGCCCTGTAGGTCTGAATAGAAGAGCTACATTTGACTCCACCAGCACCTTAGAGACCAACAAGATTTTCAGAGTACAAGCTTTTGTGTGTCATCTTTCTTTATACTCCTACCTAATGAAGGGAGCTTTGACTGGGAGACTTCAATTAACTGGGTAAATATGTGCTTGAGACATGCTATAGAAATGAGATTCCTAGATATCACAAGTGCCAGACGCACCTGCTCTCCTTTGGCTTTGGGGTTGTCCCCTCCAGAGAGATTTCCTGATTTTTACTCAACGGTATCAATACCATCTCACCGCCGCGCCTTTATGCTGGCCCGCATAAATGTATTTCCAACGGTGGTAACTCTGGGAAGATTTGGAGGCGTACCTTACTCAGATCGCCTTTGCCTGTGCAATTCTGGCGAAATTGAAACCTTAGATCATCTGATGTTCCGCTGTCCCCATTGGACTCAAGTTAGAGGCACTTATATCTTTCCTGTTCTCACGAAGATGAATATTCCCGCGCAACCTTGGGTGCTTTCAGTACTGTTATCTGGAATGTGAAGTTAAATGGGCCTTAGAAAGCATTAGTAACAACAAAGCTAGTGGAGGTGATGGTATTCCAGCTGAACTATTCAAAGTCTTAGAAGATGATGCTGTTAAAGTGCTGCACTCCATTTGCCAGCAAATTTGGAAAACGCAACAGTGGCCACAGGATTGGAAAAGGTCAGTATACATTCCAATCCCAAAGAAGGGCAATGCCAAGGAATGTTCAAACTATCGCACAATTGCACTCATATCACACACTAGCAAGGTCATGCTCAAGATCCTACAAGCTAGGCTTCAACAGTACATGGATAGAGAACTGCCAGAAGTACAAGCTGGGTTTCGAAGAGGTAGAGGAACGAGAGATCAAATTGCCAACATTCGTTGGATTATGGAGAAAGCAAGAGAGTACCAGAAAAACATCTACTTCTGCTTCATTGACTATGCTAAAGCCTTTGACTGTGTGGATCACAACAAACTATGGCAGGTCCTTAAAGAGATGGGAGTACCAGACCACCTCACATGTCTCTTGATCTTCTTCTTCTTCTTCTTCTTCTTCTTCTTCTTCTTCTTCTTCTTCTTCTTCTTCTTCTTCTTCTTCTTCTTCTTCTTCTTCTTCTTCTTCTTCTTCTGTGGTATGGAACTGTAAGTGGCCAAATAACTGTGCTGGAATGTGTGCTGGTATTATAGTGGAAGCCTGAGGAGGTGAAATAGGAATCAGAGATAATTTATGCTTCTTCCCTCTCCTGGGGTGCTTCACACCAACACCTTCTTTCACAACACAAAGAATAAGTTTATTGTCTCTTCTTTAGAGGGACTCAGTGCTTCGTGGTTTGGTGGATAAGAGAAGGAATGTATCAAGTACAGCAAAGAACAGGAGAACTCTGCTTTAAAACAGTTACAGTTTCACACACCTACATCTTTGCTGAACTGACAAGGTATTGCTGTCAGAGATAGAGAATTATTTCTTTTGGAAACTCCTCCTTAAACCCAAGAATCTCAGCCTAGTGAAACAGTCCCCTCATAAACCTTTGTTGGTCTTAAAGGTGCCAC